GAAGGTAATAGATATTTTATTACATTTATAGCTAATTGTTCTAGGTATAATTATATGTATCTATTTAAACATAAAGATGAAGCCTTTAATATATTTAAAGTATATAAAGTTGAAGTTGAAAATCAATTAGGAAGGAAAATAGAGACTCTTAGAAATGATAGAGGTGGAGAATGCTTCTCAATTGAATTCAACATATATTGTGAACAAAATAACACAATAAATCAATGTTGTGCACCACGTATACTTGAACTGAATGGTTTAGCAAAAAGAAATAATAGAACATTCTTAGAAATAATTAATGCCGTCTTATTAAATGCTGAATTACCATTTAATTTGTGGTTGAAGCCCATGTCATATAATAAATCGAATTTTTTGTAAAAGAATAAAGTTTCCCCATATGAACTAGGAAAATGGGATAAATCAAATACAAGTTATTTCAAAGTGTGGGGGTGTCTTGCTTATTACAATAACACAGATCCTAAGATAACCAAATCAGACCCTATAAAATGAGTCTTTGTGGGATATGTTTCAAATCGCAAGGCATATATTTTATTAAACTTAGAATCCAATGTTACAATAGATCAAAGGATGTGGAGTTCTTCAAGAATATATTGGCAACAAGAAACTCTCAAAATGAAACTCGTGTAGACATTCCTGCTTCTAGATAATCACAAGTGAAAACATCGATGAGAGATGTTGAACTATCAAGTGAATTTTGAAGAAGCAAGAGAGTTAGAAAAGAAAAAGGTCTAGGATCAAAAGAAATAGATTCTCAACTTATTTCTCTTTACTTAGTCGAGGGAGATAAGAAGGATGTTGTAAGAGCAATTCATTTTATTCTTCAAGTTGAAAGTGATCCTAAAATTTATAAAGAAGCAATATCTTCTAAAGATTGCATATTTTGGAAAAATGCAATAAATGATAAAATGGATTCTATTGTATCTAAAAATACTTGAAAATTGTCAATTTACTAAATGGATCTAAATTCATTGATTGAAAATGGTGGTTTAGAAGTAAATATAATTTTGATAGTACACTTTATATCTATAAAGCTACATTAGTAGCTAAACGATATCAACAAAGGAAAGAAACGATAATTTTGATACATATGCACCTGTGGCCAAGATAATCTCGATAAGGATCTTGTTTGCATTAGCATCAATATTTGATTTATATGTTCATCAAATGAATGTTAAAACAGCATTCTTAAATGAAAATCTTAAGGAGGAGGTTTATATGGAACAACAAAAAGGTTTCATTATACCAAAAAATGAATATAAAGTATGCAAATTAGTTAAGTTCTTGTATGGTTTAAAATAAGCACCTAAAAAGTGACATGAAAAATTTGATTCTACAATTATGTCAAAGGATATTTCTTTGATAACTATCTTGTTTGATAGTCAAGGCACCTTAGCACGAGCATATAGTGAAGTATATAATGGAAAGTCTAGACATATGAGTCTAAGACATAAGTATGTGAGAAAATTAAGAATGGAATAATTTCTCTTACATATGTTAAATCTAATGAGAATTTGGCTTATTCATTGACTAAACCTTTTATAAGAGAATTAGTAAGATCAAAATTCCTAGATTAAAAGTCCAATAATGATGGCAACCCTTTCTAACTATGCTAAATAAGTATATCTAGGTTCAAAGGATAATAACAAGTCATTCGATAAGTTGATAAGTTCCAGCTCTATGAATAGTTATAAAATCCTATCCTTCATAAATAGTGCTGATGTTACGATTGGAGTGATGAGTTTATAAACTCTTAATGAAGTTCAGCATAGGGTACAAGTATCTCTAAGAGTATCGGGATATCAGAATGTGAATTTCGAGGTAATGCTACCCCAATAAAGAGTTAGAATTTCTTTGTTAAAAGTTCAACGAATAAGATATGTGCAAGGTCATAACAGTGCTATGCGAGTTTGAGGAACTTGTAAAAACATAATATTTGTATGTGTGATTTCACCTGTAATATCACAAGAAATAACTGGTTCAAAGCTTTCATATTACCTCAAATTTCGATAATACTTATTGATATTTACACTATAGTTATATTCAAATTGAAAGGATGAACAATTCGATTTTTTCATAAATAATTGGAACCATTTCGAGATGCATTGATTGATAACTATAAATAGAGGATAGTTTTCTTCTCTAAACACATGAAAAACCACAATCATTTCATACATCAACAAAAGATTATAACAATTCTGATACATATTCACTCTTCTAGTTTTTATTTAGATCACTTTGAAGAAACACTTGTGCTTTGGTGATTCTTCTTTAGTCTTGATAAATCCTATGAAATATTTGTCATTTGATTCCTAAAAATCATTTGGAGAGAAGGCCAATATCGTTTAGGACAACGTTTATTACGCATGTGTTCAAGTTTTGACATTTCTTTGGTGTTTTCATCTTCATCTTCTTCTACTTTCCATTGTTGCTATTTTTAACAATATATAAGAAGACATTGAACTTATTGTATGACTTTTAGATTGGGAGAAACCCTAAAAAATTAAACTATTTCGAATTTGCCACGTTAGTTGAGTTTACTTGTTAAAAAATAGTCTAAATAATTGGTCAACAATTATTTCATTTTTACTCCAGAGAAATGACAAAAGATTTCTTTACAATACTATGATTTTGGATGATTTGTTAAAGTTGAACTTGTATTTATCGTATATAAAGATTTATCATGAACTTATTTGTATGATTGACCTAACTCTTTCATCTGCTTTTGAATAAAATGAATTTTTTGTGCAATTGAACTTAAAAATTTATCATGCATGAAGATATTGCATGTACATGTTTGTACGATCTGCCTAACTCTTGTTCGCCTGGACTTCATCGTTGTTTCCCTGCTAAAATAGAAAAACATGTTATATAGAAAAGTGCACCCACAACAGTACACCATGAGATCACGCAACGTTATTTGGGCTAAATATTCTTTTTCGTTTTTTATTTCGTCCAACTTTTGAAAAGCAATTTGGCCAATGATTCAATAGTTATAGGACTAAAAGCAACCCTATATAAAAATTCCATAGAGTAAACTTCGAAATTGAGAAGAAGTAAAAAAAACCCCGGAAAACAAAATTTAAAAGGAATAAAGCTAGTTCACAAAACAAAATAAGTGTAGCAACTTTGAAAAAAAAATATGCTAAATAAAAGACACATTATATTCATGATTATGCATTGAATGTTTATTTTAGGGAATTAAAATTTCAGCAAGAATTATTAACATAGTCAAGTCTTAGACATTGAAGCAATCAAAATCTAGGAGAATTTGCATTTGTTGAAGTTGTGACTTGCATTGGTGAAAATTTAATTAACTAGAGAAGGAAATGAGGTAGTAGTATAATTTCAACTTTAGAATACACCTTGGAGGAGAGTTTTAAGAAAAAATTTGGGAGCTTATATCTTACAAGTGGAGAATATATTTTATCATTGAAGATCGAGAATTGAATCAACTTACATATTTATAATGTTTGACCTGATTTTCAACACAATCACATCGATTTAACAACATTAGATAAGTGGCAATTGGTCTTCATATCGTGAGTTTGAAGCTCTTCATAGGTTATTCATTTAATTCTTAAATATAAGGCAAAATGGTAAGCTATCTATTCAGATGGTAAGCAATCTAACTATTTGATGTTTTGCATGTTTGTTTGTTGAGTCAAGCACATGATTTTGTTCAAGGATGAACAAATGTTCAAGTGTGCAGGTAGGTAGTCAGTGTATTTTCTACAATTACTTACGTCATTAGACATGGAGATTTGGGAGTAGTTTTAAAAAATTATCACATAAACTCGTGTAAATATAATTTGTATAGGTAAAACTCATTGTTGGACAAACTTTTGGAGAAAAGGAACGAAAGTCGAAGAAAGGATATGATTTCTGCTTAATTCTAAGAAGGGGGGCCAACTTAATATAAATTGGAAGATCAAGGGTTTGAATTGCTATTACAAGGGACCTGGATTCAGCAAAGGAATGGAGTTAAGGACCAAACTGCAAATGGTGGAAAATGGTGATACCTTTCATTTGCAAGTTATAAAAAGCCTTGCGGTTGCAAGAGCTTAATGAGTAATTGAACTGAACTATACAAGAATGTCATGCGATCATGTAGGAATACACCATGTGCTCATATGGTTTTATTTCTGAGAAAGATTCTGCTTCCTTTTTTACTTCGTCTAGCTTTTGTAAAGAAATTTGTTTGATAAATTGAAGGACGAGAAGATGGTTAAAGAAGATATTCAAGGCAAATACATCAAAAGTTGAAAATTCAAACTCTGAACTGAAGATTAAAAGTAAAATAATGATTGAAAATCAATTGAAAACTCGCTTGGAGTAATTCAAGGAGAAGAATTGATTCTATTCTTCTTCTCGCAAACATATTTTCTGTATGATGAATGCTACTATTTCTTAATTCAATTTCATAATAATGCTAGGGTAAACTCATATGTGTTGGAATGAGGAAATAAACTGGTTTTACTTTATCTAAAAGAACATTTCTTTTAGTATGATTTGTCTAATTGATTGGTATCACATGATTATTATTCATCTAAATGCTTGATCATCATTTAGATAATAATTTGCTTATTTATTTTTGGGTGATTCGAAATAGAATTAAAACATTAAGATAATCAACATGCGGTTTAACAAATGTTAGAATAATTGTTTGGGACTTGTGCAATCAAAGTAGGTCATCGTGCAATTTAATGCGTTTCTAAGCATTTGAATTAAAAATATGGATATTTTGGATTGTGTTTAGAAATTTATTTAGTTTACTCGGGGTGAGATAGTTGAATAAAATCGGATTATCGATTGTCAGTTTATACATAAATTAGACTAAGGAGGTATAGGTCGAGAATGGAAATGGAAGAACAATTGGTGGAGTAGGATTCCAACTCATTTCTCATAAAAGCTTTCTAAAAATCACTCTTCACGTCCATTTAGGCAGAACTTAGAATAGGAATTAGTAGAAAATACACACATCATTTCAATCTTGTGATTGGATTAAATTCGAGTTTCTTTTCAAATAAATACAATTCAACTCAAATCAATTCATCGTGGGAACGATACTTTCAGCTTACTAAAACTATACTTGTCAACATTCACATATGCATGTGGGATTTCACTGAACACAGATCACACTTAGCGGGGATTGTTGCTCGGAAAAATCATATCAATATGCAAACTATCTTGTGCAGAAGTGGTGCATTCTTGATTTGTCATTGTGATATCATATAGGTCTGATTGTTCACTCAACAATGCCATATTTTCTTCTGCATTTCTTTGTTGATTCCAAGGATGTCTTGTAAATTTCCTCAATCCTTCCAACTCCATTGCCACTTCTTTCATTGTTGGTCTTTTATCGCCCTTCAAGTTTAGGCATCTTTTCACTAACTCCCCAATGGCTTGGAGTTGTTCAAAACTACCTTCCCTCAAAATACGAGGCTCAAGAATTTGAAATAATCTATCTTCTTTAACGGACGCGATGAAATATGTAGCCAAATTCTTTTCTTCTCCAGATTTTGTAGGTGAAAGAGGTTTCTTTCTTGTCAAGAGTTCAGCAAGAACCACCCCAAAGCTGTAAACATCACTTTTTTCAGTTAATTGGCTGGTTTGGAAGTACTCAGGATCCAAATAACCTAGGGTTCCTTGAACCAGTGTCGTTACTTGCGTTTGATCTAAGGGAACCAATCTTGACGCTCCAAAATCTGATATTTTAGCAGTGTATGTATTGTCTAACAATATGTTGCTTGACTTGACATCTCGATGAATAATAGGCATAGAAGCTGAAGAATGAAGATAGGATAATGCACCCGCGGCATCAGCAGCAATTTTTAATCTATTTACCCATGAAAACCAAGGCATTTCACCATTATCGTGTATATGGTGAAAAAGTGCACCATTTGAAACATATTCATATACCAGAAGAGGAACTTCAGCCTCCAAACAACATCCCAACAGTTTCACCACATTTCGATGTTTAACTTGAGTAAGAATAATCACCTATTTAAGACAACAATTTAAATTGTTATAAGTTTTTCATTGTTTAATATAGCTTAAACTTTTTCAATGAGTGTCAATCGTGGTATGAAATCATGTAATCATTATGTGTTTGTCTCTTTGTTTATGAACTTGTGCATATCGGGCTTTGACGTAAGGATAAAGCCAGTTTTACATCATGATTGACATCATCCTTGGTATCAAATCTTGATTGGGGTAACTCCCCAATTGTGTGCAAATGCGTGACAGAGTATAAAACTTGGTGTACATCACACGTGACAGAGTATAAAACTTGGCGTACACTGTGATATGTCCAAGCATGGTTTTTTATGTAAAGAATTCAAAAGGGGTATGAGGTGTATGGTAGGGTGAATGAAGTGTAGTACTTGTAGATCCAACAAAATGTGCAATTGAAATAAATGCTCGACTTTAAAACATAAAATATATGTAAAAGAAAATGCAACCCAAACAATATGTTAATGCTTTTGATGAGGTGGTTGAATGTTACCTCATTTATGAATTGCTCAATTTGATTCTCATCCATTATTCTTGATATCTTGACCGCCACTACACGTTCATCACGTAGAATTCCTTTATAGACAGTACCATAGCCACCTCTGCCAAGAATCCGATCTTCAGCATACTTGTTGGTGGCCTTTTCAAGTTCTTCAGCAGAAAATATTTTAGTTGATTCTATTCCATCCTCATTTGAAGAAATTCGCTGCTTCAAAAGCAGACCACCATTTTGATGGAATAATTTCTCTCTCATTCTAACAAGCTTTCTTTTCTTGATGCTAAAATATATCCATGTCACAGCAATGATTATCGACACGAAGACAGTGCTAAAACCTGCAGAAATATTATGTAAAAAATCATAAATTACTTCGACACTTGGACAAAAATATAACAACCCCATCTCACCCCCTCAAGATTTTTCACACCCTGTGAAAATAAATATTTATAATTATTTGAATCCGCTTCGAAATTCTTCTTTTCATGATAGACTTCAGCTAAAAATTTTGCAAAAGAATTACCTAGTAAGAACTTGATTATTGGGAACTGAGAGTTCTCAGAAATGCATCCACGGTCATTTTTTGTGCCATCACCGTAGTAACCATGTTTGCAGGTACAGCTGAAGTTACCAGGAATATTAGTGCAAATTCCGTTTTCGTTGCATGGATTATTCTTGCATTCATCAATGTCTGCCGAACAAATTACAACAAGGTTATATAATCAACTATTTATCTGATTATATATGCAACCACCCCAACTAATCAATCGTTATTCTCAACATATTGTAAGTCTATTTTGTCTCCTCTCTGAATGCTATATTTACTAAAAAAAATTAATGCCTTGGAATTTAAACTTAGTTTTGCTCTTATTCTCGAAAAATAATTTAAAGGCATCTATATAATTAATAGTTTGATGCAATTCAGTTCAATTATTTGCTACATCAACAAAAAAATATCATTAGCAATAGATGCAAATAACGACGAAATGTCGTGTTAGTTTTGCTCTACACTTTCTTATTCTAACTTCTTCGACATTAAACATTTTATCCTCCAACCAATACGAGTCTCTTTGGATCGCATGTCACAGTTACTTTGATTTTTTTAATAACACATAGTTTCTTTAAGAATAACCCAATAGCCGACCTTATATGGATTTCATTGATTAATATACGATTTGTATTATCATATTCAATTCATGAATAAATTGTGACATACTAACAAATATTTATAAAACATCTAATGTTGCACGATGAGGAAATTATATAATTATACAAGGTTAATTACAAAAAGAGTTTAGTATTTTTCAATGACAAGTACCTTACATCTACATCTACTTATTCTTGCAAATTGACAAGTACATAAAAAATGGTCACTTATTATTGATAGACAAAGTTCGTCTAGATCACATCACTATATTTATGGCAAAAATTTGAACAGATTATAAATTTTGACGATTGGCCAGTTTTAGAAAATCAGTAAATCTTTTTACCCATTCGGTGATAGTGTGCAACAATTTTTGCTAACAGATAATTAACAAATTACTAACCTGTGCAGCCTGGACTTAGATACGGATTGCCCTCGTATCCTGTTGAGCAATGACAACGATATCCACCTAGACCCGTGTCTGAATCAACACAAACACTATTCTGAAGACAGGCATAATCAGTAGACTTTTTGGCGTCACTGCAATTCTGATTCCCAATGGCCCAATCAATCACTATTGGAACATCTTCCATTGTTCTATTCAGAAAACCTTCATCAGAAAAATCTGACTTCCGAAATTTAAATACATCCTGATCTCCAAGAAAAGCGTAACCACAGGGATTAAATGACGAGACATTTGTATGATTATTGACGGTTGTTACTGAATAAGAAATAGCCTGTAGGCCTTTTGGTATAGAAGTTTGGCAACAACCAATTCCTGTACATAATTCATCAATGAAATCTTCCCTTTCGGAACAAACAGACAGGCAGCCGCTTCTGAAACTCCTGCCACCTCGTCCACTGATCACCGACAGGTCGTCGCAGCCGACAACTGTGAACTTGTTCGAATCGGCCAAGCTATAAGGAGTTCCTGTGAAATTAATGCCTATGGAACGGCTGCCGTTTATGTTACCGGTTTCTGTATAGCATTTAAATGCTACCCAATTCTTGACACGTAGTTCGTCGGACGATATATTGATAATCTCCACTATGCTTTTGGCAACGAAGGGCTTTGGAGGGTTGAAAGATGTGTCACAGTTTACGTCAAACCGTGAGCCTATTGAACAATTTTTTCCTAGACCAATTCCAAAAGGGTAGGGGACAGTTAAATCTCCACATTTGGAGTCGCAGCCCTGCTTTGCGGTGGCAGCGGCAGCGGTAGTGGAGAAGAAAAGGGGTGCCAGCAAAAGCCATAAAAGATTGATCGTGAGCATGTTTCTCAGCACCATTTCATGGCTGATTTATCTACACTTATATAGCTTGTGTTAGATAGAGATTAATCAAAGTTAAGAACTATAATTTAATCATATATTTTATGAACGCCACTACTTTCAAACCCACATTTTATCACCTTTTATTATTGTAAATTAATAAAAAATTAATTTTTATAAATATGCACTTAAGAACAGTCAAAATTAATTAAGTCAAGGTGACTGACACTTCTACAACGCGGTTATGGAAAATAATTTCTAAGGGTACGAATTTCTCCTAAGGAAATTTAGTAATTAGTGTTTAACAAGGACATTTCGATGACAGCTCCATCTCAATTCATATATTGGCGAAGACTTGACCACCCAAGTCTCTTTTGAACAATATATTTTATTTTTGTCTTTTACTATTATATCTCTAATTCATATATCACAAATAATACTTGGTTGATAGTATTTTGTTATATTAATTTTGATTATAATCATGTATTTATTATTTTATTTTATTTTATTTTATTTTATTTTATTTTATTTTTTGAGAATTTGAAGATATGCCGATAAATTTATGGATGTAGATGCTTCTAACCATTTTTAAATAACAAAATACATTAAAACTTTTTCCCCTTATTTTGAGACTTACAGACCCCCCCTCTCGTTTGACCTCCATTCTTTTCAAATTTTAATGGTTGGAATAATATTTTTTTGAAAAATGTATTGTTGAAAAAAAATGAAAAGTTTTGGATTTACATGTAATATTATTTTATGGAAGATTGTGCGGTTGAACTTCTATTTAATTAGTTCTCGTGTAGTTTAAAACTTTTGCATCTTTTCTATCTCTAGATCTTGCGTAAAGGTGAATAATTACTTTTTTCTTCTCTTCAAAAAATATTTGGCCTTTTCAAAAAGAAGCTAAATTAGTTGGTGAGCACGATAATAAATTAATAATTAATAATAACACCCTATTATTACATTGAGGGAGTTTATTCTTGGCTTTGGTTTAGTTTCAAAATTTGTGTACTTTGACAAGTTCAATTAATGATGCAATTATTTTCCTTGAGTAGTTACGCATACATATTGCATTGGTCTTGCGTTTCGAGATTTTCTTGACTTCTTGAGATTGTAATATGATTATTTTATTAAATATCTCATACAATTTGTTATATCTTGGTTGATCATCGTTATTGAGAAAAAAATGATATTTTAAATAGTACTTTTTTTGAAGAAAATAAAATTAAAATGCAGGGAAAATTTTAAATTTATGCGTAAAAAATTTTATTGCGTGAATGAGAATGAAAATGAGCATGAGAATTAAAGTTTTGTTCCTTTTTTTTTTTAATGGAGACAAAATAAGGACTACATACTCTAAAATGATATCATGGTCCAAACCCCATTAACCTAACATAGGAAAATTAAATAAAGTGGAAAAAATAATTAAATCTATTTAGTTAATTTGATCGCCTTCTTATTCAATAGGTTGTAGAGCTTCTTTCAATCTCGAATTATTGTCAACGAAGATATATTTATCACTATTGTCATCTAGTTTGGTCATTCTTTCTTTCAGAATATGAGAGAACGCAATGCTCACAAAAATACGGAAATTTAATATATTTGATTGGAATCAGCTCTATGTTTCTTGAGGAGTCAAATTTTGCACGCTTTTGGTTGGACAGCGATTCAGCAAATACATGGCACGCTGAGCAACTTCAACCTATGGCACTTTCAACATCTGGCTTAGTTTTCAACATACTTCAAGTCATTCTCATGGAAGTCATATTTTTTTCTCTTTGCTAGACCATTTTGTTGAGGAGACGTAGATAACAGTCAAAGAATGATGAATGTCATGATCTTTATAAAAATTCTTGAATGTGTAGATATTCATCATCACGATCTGAGCATCAAGCTTAGATCTTGTAATTACTTTTATGAAATAATATTGGCTTGATCAGTCCACAAAGATTCGTATGCATTGATTCAAGTAGCCTTGGAGTTTGAAAACTTGTATCTTTTGAGAAAGCCTTTCGGAATTGCTTTTCATATAGATACACTCATAACGAAGTTCTTTTGGATGATGAATTTGTGGCAGCCAAACACAACCCGCCCCGTGTAACACCACTAGATCCGGACGTGGCATGCGCCGATGATAGATACCAACTAAAAGTCGGACCCACCAACAAGGGTACTACAAATACAATATATCACTTTTTATACATCATTTTTCTAACAAAATTTCGGCATTATCTCCTCTGTAAACAGAACTAACCAATATGTGATCAATTTCACACAAATCCCAAACTATAGCACAGCACAATAAAGATAAGCCGAAATCTCCACTTTTACCAAGAAATACAATGAAATATACATATGGATACATAATAAATAGTGAGCCCCATAACTATCTACAAGTGATGCAACATCACATCTAGACATGAACATGCATCCCAAAACACTGACTACATGTTCTATAAAGTGAGTCATACTAACAAACTATGTCGTGTGGCTCTGACTCCAAAATCAAGGCTCAACTCCAAAAGATGCCCAGATTCTCAACTGCTGTCTGATAAGGAAAAACGTGGAAAAATATATAAGTTGATAGCTCAATGAGTGGAGAAGTTCAAAATAAATATAGCTTTTCATTTATACATTTTTATTGAAAATCAAATTCATATCATTTGATAATTCACAAGCTACCATCATGTAATTATAGCCAAAAAGTGAAATATTCACATAAGATCATAAAATATCATCTTAAAATCATGATATAACATCAACTGATAACCATGTTATAATCTCACTACATCAAACGTACTGAAAAATCCACAAAAAATGTACCCTCTGACTGAAATATGTAATCCACCTCTCGGGCTAAGAACTTTCGCCACGTGGCCCCCTCCGTGAACGAAAGCTGGTCTCAAAAACCTCTCATAATCAATTCTAGAACACGGTCAAGACCCCTCTGTGAACTATATGTACACGATCAAGATCAATGTCAGGTCAAAACCCTCCGTGTAGGATAGAACACGGACAAGGCCCCTCTGTGAACTAGAAGAAGTACATAATCATGGGTGTTTTTCTGACCGATCTCAATATTACATGTCTCACATACCAAACAAATCTCAATATCACATGTCTTATATACCAAGTCACAAATATACCATAAATAATCTTTTATATTCCACATGTATCATAATAAGATATATTTCCATAATAACCATGTAATTTGAACACATAATTGCATATATTTGTACATACTTTAATAATATACTTAATTTATAAATACTTTAAAAATATTTATATTTTTCCACTCACAGAACTATGTACAACAAAATCAACTAGGATGATATGTTGTCCCGATGTCCGTATCGCCCCCTAAAATATGATATATTCTTTAAATTAACAATTAACTATTTTTAAATAATTTCAATAATCAACTAATTTAAGCAATTTCAATAATTAAATAGGCGATACCCAAATATAATTATTTCACGTTTAGGCGATTTCTAAAGTCTCCTTAATTAGTAAAACTAATTTTTCTTTCATTTTACTCAATTTCATAGTTTATTATACTTAATCCCTTCAATAAAATTGAATTTAAAATCTAACAACTTAACAACTATAAAATCAAACATAACCTTTCAATAAGCAACTTTTACTTACCTTTCAAAATTGAGAAATCCGAGCCTAACAGTATAACCCACTCTAACACGTTGGCAAATTTTTCATTTTTTTTCTTTTTTTTTCTTCCTCTTCCCCCCCCCCCCCCCCCCCCCCCCCTCTCTCT